GAGGGGAAAAGAGAGAGAGAGAGAGAGAGAGAGAGAGAGAGAGAGAGAGAGAGAGAGAGAGGAACAGACAGACAGACAGAGAGAGACGCTGAGGACGGCAAGGTGTCTGGTAGTGGCTGGACGCCGCCGCTGCCTCCAGCCCTGCACACTGATTCCGAGAGTCGTTTTCGTCGCTCTGTCACTCTCGCACCCACACGGGACGCCCCTTGAGTGCGAGAGAGACAGAGCGACGAAAGCGACTCTCGGAATCAGTCTGCTGCTGACGCTGCTCTGACTCCGGAGCGTGGCTTCGTACTTCGTGGCGCCCGCTGCTCCCATTCGTCTGGCTCAGGTCGCGTCACACTGGCTCGCTGGCGCCGCCGCGAAGACGCGGGTTCGAATACCCGCGCGCCTCTGCACTTTTTCATTTTTCTCGCGCCACCGACGCGTCTATTCCGCTTGCACAGCGGCTGCAGCAGCACGCCAAGTATCATCCCAGGGGCTCAAAAAAAAAAACAACAAAAACAACGAACAACAAGGTGTGTAAGGACTTCACAGGAAAGTGGGCAACTTTTTTAGCGACTTCCACAACGAGGTGGCGGAGCCTAGCCGTGGGCACCGATCGAGAGCCGCACCAGCTCCCTGGGGAAGTTATATATTTATATTCCAGTTTTATTGTTTTTGTTGTTGTTGTTTTTGCCTTTAGCAGCGGGTGTTATAGTTGCCAGCGTAATGAGCGAAAGCGCGAAAGCAGCAGAGTAAATGGCGGCGCACGTCGAGGCGGGCTGGGCCTGGCTGGGCCCCGAGGGGCGCTCCTCGGCAACAACTGTTGTTCCCTTACCGAAACAAAAGCTCTCACACACACACACACACACACACACACACACACACACACACACACACACACACACACACACACACTACACACACCTACACACACACACAGACACGCACGAGGCCGTGATGAGGCTGCAGGTGCCGAAGCATCGAGAGGAAGCGCACCCTTACAGTGTGATGCATCGTCGCGCAGCTTGCCAGTGCAGTGCCCCGCCATCGCTCATAGGGGGCGAATCAGAATGAATGGAGCAGGCAGGGTGGCGCCCGGCTCCCTCCCTCTCTCTCTCGCACCCCGGTGGGTGCGGCCCCACGAGTGCGAGAGAGACGGAGCGTCGAAGAGCCCCGAATCAGCTTGCAGCAGGCTATGCAGCAGCAGGTCGACCCGGGCCGACCCGGCAGATGGCTGATCCTCCCCAACGAGGAGCCCCCACGTGATCAAGGACCTCCACATCCTCGACCAGCACTCCGGATAGGCCCTCTCCATTTGCAGTGCATTGTCTCGCCAGAGAGAGAGAGAGAGAGGGGGGGGGGGGGCTGACAGGTGACTAGAGCAGGCTGTCAGGCAGTGTGCCAAGCCACCGGCCAAATGAGTGACACTGATGTTTAGCCTCACGTCATTAACCCACCGCGGAGCGAGGGAGGGCGTAAAAGCTGCAAACTGGTGGCACTCGGAGAGCAACGAACGATGAATGAATGAATGAACGAATGAATGAATGAATGAATGAATGAATGAATGAATGAATGAATGAATGAATGAATGTGGGCCAGTAAGTGAATGAATGAAAATGGGCCAGTAAATGAATGAAAATGGGCAAGCATTTGATGAATGAATGAATGAATGAATGAATGAATGAATGAATGAATGAATGAATGAAGCAAATGAAGGACCGAACGCGTGTTTTTCACAGTGCCCGCGTTGATGTTCCCATCCGTGCGTCGACCACGCTGGGCGCGGACAATGCGGGCTCGGCGCTCGGAGGGCCCAAAGTGCTAGGCGCCGCACCGCGCGTGCGGGCGTGTGGCGGGGCGGGGCGGCCAGTTGGACTCATGCGCGATTTCCTCACTAAATGCCGGCCAATTAGAAACGCTCTGGCTCGGCCACTCGGACGGCCCGGACGGTTGGACCCTCATCCCCACTCGGCCAAAAAAGTCCACGTGTTCAAAAAGTCCACGTGTCCAAAAAGTCCACGTGTTCAAAAAGTCCACGTGTCCAAAACGTCCACGTGTCCAAAAAGTCCACGTGTCCAAAAAGTCCACGTGTCCAAAAAGTCCACGTGTCCAAAACGTCCACGTGTCCGAAAACCCCACGTGTCCTAGTCTAAAAAGTCCACGTGTTCAAAAAGTCCATGTGTCTGAAAGTTCACGAGTCCCTGCGGTGGCCGAAGGCACAAGGCCGGAGGGCCTAAAAAGGGCGGCGTTGCACCACCACCCTCGCTTTGTTGTTGTTGTTGTTGTTGTTGTTGTATGCATGCAGCAATTAGGCCCTCGGCATGCAGTCCATCCACATCGTGTCGGGGATTACGAGACCGCAGACGAATCATCTCAGGCAGCCAGCCTGGCGACAACGCCCCTATGTCGCCCTGCCCAGCCTTGCCAGCGTCCTGTCACACAATTACTTCGAGACAATTTTACAACTAAACCAATTGGTGTCCCTGTTTCTCAACCCCTTGCGGAACACAGTGTGGGTCACAGCAGCGACCTAACGTGGACTCGAGCGGGCAAACGTTAGTTCCCTAACGGTCCCCACACGCTTAAGCATCCTCTTTGTAGGCTCTTTTCTAGTGCAGCCGGTGCATCCTCGCACATCCTGGCCCGGTGCAGGACTGCATGTCCGTGGCGTGCAGCGGGCCCAGCCGGCCGGGGCGTCATAGTCGCACGGCATCACATTAGGGTCAGGTCCGCGTCTAGGACTCGACTCTAGTCCGCCGGGAACACGGTACGGTGCGTTTATAGAGGCGGCCGACCCGGTCCGACCGGCTCGGTCAAAGCAAACGCGTTCAAACTGCAAATAATGCAAACGGGACGAGACCGGCGCCTCTCCTCCGAGCTTCCCTTCCGTGTAACTTTTTCCCGCCGAGGGACCGGCAAGGTCACGCCACCGTCAGGTTTTACAGTGGTGGGAGCCGCGACGCAAAACGCGCCAGAAATTTAATAAAACGAGAGGGAAAAAAGTGCCGCCCTAGACTCCGACGAAGTCCCGGCCCATAGGCCCCGATACACCCCGACCCGGCCCCGACCCGGCCCCGACCCGGCCCCGACCCGGCCGAGACCCGGCCCCGACCCGGCCGAGACCCGGCCCGACCCGGCAAAGACCCGGCCCAGACCCGGCCGAGGGCCGGGCCGGCCGATACCCGGTCGCCCTATAGGGACCCGGCAAAGCCTCGGCCAAGCCCCGACAGAGTCCATCCCAGTCCGGCCAAGTCCGGCCACGGTGTAAGAGTGCGCCACCCGAAGAGTGGTCTCCCTACACCGTAAGTCCGGACGTGGCGGGTTCCACCGGACTTACGGTGTAGGGAGACCACTCTTCGGGTGGCGCACTCTTACACCGTGGCCGGACTTGGCCGGACTCGGATGGACTCTGTCGGGGCTTGGCCGAGGCTTTGCCGGGTCCCTATAGGGCGACCGGTATCGGCCGGCCGCCCCTCGGCCGGGTCTGGGCCGGGTCTTTCCCGGGGTCGGGCCGGGTCTCGGCCGGTCGGGGCCGGGTCTCGGCCGGGTCGGGCCGGGTCGGGCCGGGTCGGGGCCGGGTCGGGGTCGTATCGGGGCCTATGGGCCGGGACTTCGTCGGAGTCTAGGGCGGTCGGTCGACCCTGTTTCCACCCCTTGCAGTGCATATCTCTCCCGGCGTAAAACATACCGCACGCACATTCCACTTCGCCCCCCTTTTTGCGTTCCTCAAAGTGGAATCCCCGTTCGCACACGCCGTTCCCACGACAACAGCGAGTCCAAGTGGCTCGCTCAAACGGGGCGTACTTCATGTCAGTTTTGCTTTTTCAGCGTTATAAAACACGACAAGTTATAGTTAAATTACAATCAAGTAACACACTCCACTGCAAGAAAAGTTGTGAATAGTACAACAAATGTACAACAAAAACTGTACAATAAAAGCACAACAGGGATTGTAGAAAGTACAACGAGAATTTTACAAACCACAACGAGGCCTGGGCTGCACAGCACTCGTCATGCCGGTTCCACTGTACAATAAAAACCTGATAAAAAATTTGCCACAAATTTGTGTACTTTTGTTGTGTTTTTTTCTTGCAGTGTCGATTGCACTTTTCACTCGGCTCTTCGAGAGGAAAGCTCGCTTTTCGATACGACAGGTCTTTACGTACGCCTGCGGGGACGTTGCCCCGATGGGCAACACATGTGCAGCTAAAGACAAAACCGTCTCAGCCAGGGCGTGGCGTGGCGGGGCGTGGCGGGGCGTGGTGGGCGCAACAGCAACTTCTCAACCACCTGCGCCCCGAATGTGCCCCCCCCCCCCGGGGACGCAAACGAAGGTAAAGCTAATGAACGGCAAAAGGAACGAACCACCAGCTGCTGCCACACCCGAAAACGCACCCGGAACCGAGGAAAATTTACATGCAGCAAATACGCCTCTGGCGAGAAAATCCGGGAAAATCTTTCGATCCTCGTCACTGTAACGAACTGAAAGGGTTGTGGAAGGACCGTTATGACTCGAGCGCCACATGTGTCATCTCCGCCAGGCTGCCACTGTGTCCCACGACGTGTCCCACGGGTAGCGGGGGCACAACAACGCAAACAACAACAACAACAACCTTTCACACACACACATACACAGTCAACACCAAAAAAGAGGATTAAAAATTGGTTCATTCATTGCCGGGTTCGGAATTTCAAGGTAAGGAGCGGAGCGGCCAGGTGAGTGAGTGGCAATGTGGAACACGTGCCTTGCCGGATGACGCGAGCGATTCAAACAAGGCGAGCCGCTGTCCGCCCCGCCCGCCCCACCCCACCCCGCCCACCTCACCCCCCCCCCCCCCCCCCCCCCCCCGGCCGCACTTCCACGAAAAGTACGCGAACCGATTGAGGAAGCAAGGACCTCTAGCCTCTAGGCCATGCATCCACTTGAGCCCAATTTTCAACATTTTCCTTTCCGCGGCCTGCGCGCGCTCTACTTTGGCTCTACATACTGCTCAGGGACTGCAGGACTGATCTACCTCTGGTCGTCGATGTCCTTCTGGCGAGGATGCAATCGTCCTTCCCACACCATCCAGGTGCACACCGTGCACATGAGGACCACCGCGCATGCTTACCTGCAAACAGAAAAAAAAGGCCGTTTTAGAAACAAAAAATTCGAGGGGAAAGAAAGAAAGCGAAACCCCTTCTTTCTCTCTCTGGGAGAAAAAGGGGGGAAATTTGCACCGGATGGTGGCGACACCCGAAAACAAAAAGCATTTCGACACCTCCCGCGGCAAGTGTCCTTTCAGCAGCAGAAATCCCTTTAGCAGTGTCGGCGCACGTTCAAGTTTCGTCGTACGCGATTCAGGAGATCGGTTTGTCGATCTGTCTCTCTCGCACCCTTACGGAGAGCCCCATGAGTGCGAGAGAGACAGTCGCGAAACGACTCGGCAGGCACAGCCCTTCCCATGCAGCCCTTTTTCGCGTTGCCACCTTCTTATTCTGCAGCCACTCCAGTTGGCAGCAGGGCGTGAATTACTGGGAGAGGAATCGGTCTCTCTCGCACTCGAGGGCTAGCCCGCACGCCCGCCGAGGTGCGAGAGAGACAGAGAGCGAACTGCCACAGCAGACTGATTACGAGAGTCGTCGCTCTGCCTCTCTCGCACTCATGGGCCGTCCCGTGTAGGTGCGAGAGAGACAGAGCGACGAAAACAACAGGCGGCATGGGGCGAGAGAGAGAGAGAGAGAGAGAGAGAGAGAGAGAGAGAGAACGGGAGGGGGGCTGATAGATAGGCAGGAAGCTAATCGTGTGATCCTGGATCACTGATCCGTTCCTACTCGGCCGCTGACGCCTCGCCCGGTTAGTGCATTACACCGGGGGAAGGCCCTAGCAGTGCAGGCCACATTCCAAGACGCCTCCGACGCCTCAGACCATCCAATTGAGGTCGGTTCGGTTTGAAAGGAAAAAGGATGCCTCTCTGTACTTCCGAACCGCGCCGCGCGCCGCGCCGAGCCGCCCCGTCCACCGCAGTCCACCCACATACCTCGTTAGGAGGGGCCCCACACCCGAAGCCTCACGAAGGATGGGGCCCAAAGCCCCGCTCTCCTCGGCCCGCGGGGCCCACAGGGCCAACCCAAAGGGCCAAAGGCCCCAAGGGCCAGTGTGTGTGATCAAAATCACTCGCCTTAACTCCCCCTTGTTTTGACATAGCCGCTTCGGGGCTGACAAAGAGAGCGCGTGACTCCTCCGAGCCCCAAAGGGGGCCCAAAGGGGGCCCAAAGGGGGCCCAAAGGGGGCCCAAAGGGGGCCCAAAGGGGGCCCAAAGGGGGCCCAAACAGGACCGGGCGGCGCTGCGAGCGTCGAAAATAGGAGGAGCGTTTAAAGGGGGGAGGGGAGGGGAGGAGAGGAGAGGAGAGGAGGTTGAACTCCAGAGAGGGGGCGTCGGTGCGAAAAACGGCCACACTGTTTCTGTGTCACTGCGCGAGATCTACTTTGAATGCACTTTTGTTTCCAACACTCGCGGAAAGAGGGAAAAGAGGTTAACACACACACACACACACACACACACACACACACACACACACACACAGAGGCACAGGGTCCACCAAAACCGCGCCTAAAGAGTGCAGGCTTCGTGGGAAAAAGCGCGGGCCGATCCGGTACACTCCTCTCCGGTGCGCGCCGTGCTTCCGTCTCTCTCGCACCCCTACGGCGCCTTGCGGCCCGCCCCGCGAGTGCGAGAGAGACGGAGCGACGCCGCAGTTTGTCGGAGTAATTGGTCGCGCCGCCGGATCGCGGCGACCGCCATTCACTTTCACGGGGTTTGGCGCGCGGCCAGGGGAGTCCCGCCGCGAGCGAAGCGAGCGAGAGAGAGAGAGAGAGAAGAGAGAGAGAGAGAGGGGAGGGAGAGGGAGAGAGAGAGGAGAGAGAGAGAGAATAGAGAGAGATTGATTTGATTTGATTTATTGTTAAACTTACAACAAGCACTTAAGAGTGCCACTGGCATGCAAGCCCGCCCTCCAAATCAATAATTACAAATTCATGATAAAAATAGTTATAAACGAAAAATAGAGATAAACACTTATATGCTTGTCGCAAAGGACACCTTAAACTAATGGAACAACATAATTAATTATACAAAAATAGTTTGTACTCTAATTTGGTTTAAAAGAAACGATCGTAATCACTTATAACTAAAGGAACAACGTAATTAGCTTGTATAAAAAATATTTTGTCTATTTGGTTACATATGAACAAGATTCAAAACAACATCACAACAGACATGGTCGCATGAGGTCCTAAGGAGGATAAGCTCTTTTCAACGAGATTTTCACAAAGTTAACAGATCTGCTGCCCAGGTGCATCATAAAGGTGGAGGTCGTTCCACATTTTGCTAGACTGTAGGAGAAATGAATATGATATTTTTCTGTTCTGTGAATAGGTATTTGTAACTTGTAACTTGCTTGACCTAGTGGAGCATCTATTACTTGTAGATATAAATTTGTATTTCTCAAATAAGTATGCGGGGTTTCTGACTTAATAATTTTAAAGACCATCAGAGCAACAGCCAAAGCCCTTCTATTTTCGAATTTTTAGAAACTGTAACTTGTCATAATAGGTGTAATGTGCTCAAATCTGGAGGCTCCAGTTATGAAACGCACACATGCATTTTGCACTCTTTGCAGTCTAGCATTATTACAGTCAGTAATATCAGTAAAAAGTGCAGAGGCATAGTCAAGATGAGGCATCACCAGGGTCATGATCAGCATTTTCCTAATATTTGGAGGTATAAAAGAGAACGACCGCCTCAGCTGTGCTAAAGTTCCTAATATTTTCTGTATTAACAAAGTGCATGGTCGGTCCAGCTCAGTGATCCATCGAAACAACACTCCTAGATTATTAACAGTACTCTTATATGGAATGACACAGGACACAATCAGCTCTGTAACGTCATCCTGATAAAATATTTAGAAATCTTTGGGATCCTAATATAATGGATGAGTCTTTGATACATTTAGCAATAAATTAATGCTTTTCACAATAATCTATTATATTCACCATATCGCTTCTTAGATAGTCAAGTTATCATCCAAGGCATTCAAGGAAGTGAATATATAGCTGTATGTCATCAGCATACATCACGTATTTACAATGCTTTAAACAGTAGGGAGATCAAATAAATATATAAGGACAGCATGGTCCCACAGCACTGCCCTGTGGTACCCCTGTGGTGATCTCAGCCCAGTCAGACATTTGATCTGATGCACGACAACTCTATGACAGCGCATGGTGAGATATGACCGGAACCATTTATAGCGGACTTTGAGAAACCTAGGCACTCCAGTTTGGTAATAGTAGTTCACTGATGGACACAGTCAAGGCTTTGCTTAGATCTAACAACACCATAAGATAGAAGTTCTCTTTGTCAATGGCTTCTCTGATATCATCAGTGACCTTTTAGCAGTGCGGTAACAGTACTAAAACCCTTTCTAAATCCAGACTGGTTTTCTGCAAAAAGCTTTTTATCATTCAAAAACTCTGTGACTTGAGAGTGCACTAGAGAGAGAGAGAGAGAGAGAGAGAGAGAGAGAGAGAGAGAGAGAGAGAGGTAGAGAGAGAGAGAGAGAGAGAGAGATAGAGAGGGAGGTCTGGACCAGGGTGGCCCCGCCACGCCGCCGCCACGCGTCGCCAATGTCAGGCGGACGACGGACAGCCTTTTGGACGCATTTGAGTCGCATGACAGGAACAGCCGGGCGCGCCGGATGGACCCGGGCCTCTGGGACGCTAGGCCTCTGGAGCAGTGGCACACGGCCACCGGTCCGGCTGCAGCGAGCGTCGCCGAGAGTCGTTTTCGTCGCTCTGTCTCTCTCGCACTCACGGGGCGCCCCGCACTGGGGCAAGAGCGACACACAGCGACGAAGACGACTCCCGGAATCGGTCTGCAGGACGCCCTGGGCCAAACGGGGGCCACTTTCGACCGGCGAAAGGGCCGGCGGGGCACCATAGAGCCGTCCTCGAACGCCGCGCCGCGCCGGACTGGCTGTCTCTCTCGCACCCATGCGGGACGCCCGTGAGTGCGAGAGAGACAGAGCGGACGACTCTCGGGATTAGTCTGGCAGTTCGGCCAGAACGGACGACCCTGCCTCTGACTTTGTCAGCGACGCTGCGGAGTCACTGTAAAACGCCACCCGGGGCGCCCGGGGCACTTCCCGCCCTCGTTGGGCTGCAGAGAGACAGAGCGCCCGCACTGCGAGCTGGAGCCTCCAGCCTGGAGGACGATAGTCAGAGCGAGATGTAGCGTGTCCGAGGACTAGCAAACTTTTTGCAGTGCACTTTTTGCTCCCAACCACATCACTGCCGCATTTCGGCTGGGCAGCAGTGCAGAGGGCACACCACCGGAAGGCAGTGATGGTGGGGTGGGGCGGGGCGGGCGGCCACACACGACGCGGCCCTCTACTCCGCAAACTGGGTTCGCGGCCGCCTAGGATGACGAGTGTGACGAGTGTGACCGGCGAGACGCGCGGAGGACAACCGTGACGACGCCGAGGACGTGGAGGGCGAGGAGGTCCTTGGAGCCCTCGGCCCCGCCTTCTAACCCGACTGACTGCGAGAGTCGTTTTCATCGCTCTGTCTCTCTCGCACCTATACGGTGCGCCCCATGAGTGCGAGGGAGACAGAGCGACGACAACCACTCTCGGAATCAGTCTACTGCATCTGCAAGGCCCACACAGTAAATGTCTTACGGTGAAAGGCTGCACCTACATAATATGGTGGAGATTTTCTCCATAATACCAACGAAATTCGTGAAAATCTCCATAAGGTACAGTGAATTCTCGATGGTATGTTACGAAGTCAGCTGCACCACCATAATATGGAACATTTTCACCATAATATGGAGAATCTTCACTGTAGAACATTTAGAGTGCAGCGTGGTCAGGCAGGTCGTCCGGACTTTTACACATTTCAAATGCAGGCCAAGCAGCGCGCGCGCAGCCCGGCCGGCCAGTCACTAAATCATACAACAACCGCGTACAGCGTGTACCTGTCGCGCTTTTTGTCGCCTTATTTCACCCCGCCGTTGCCTCGCTCATTTTCCGTGGCCCTCCTTGTTCTTGTTGTTCTTGTTTTTCTG